GATGCTTCCAGGAACATCCCAGCAGCAAATGCTCACTTCTGACTCAAGGCCTCGGAACCCATGCCTGTTCCTCATGGAATTTTCTCGCCAGGAGAACAAGCTGAAGTTTGCAGCCTACTTGGAGGAGCAGTACAAGGTCAAGATCAACCCTTCGTCCATGTTCGATGTGCAGGTCAAGCGAATCCATGAGTACAAGCGGCAGCTGCTGAACTGCCTGCATGCCATCACCCTCTACAACCGTAAGTCCTGCCTGGGCTGGTAGGCAAGGGGTGTCCTTTCAGTGCCAGGGGTCCCATATAAAAGTATGCCAGGGGGTGGCCAAGGACTCCTACGGGGACAGGGGGCTGGAACTAAATGAGGTCCCTTCCAATGCAGATTCTGATTCTGTGGCCCATCTGTGCCCAGCACAGCTCTGGTAGATGTCTCATTGGCATTCAGGGTCCTGCAGGTGTTTTGGGTCCATGGGACATGGGCTGGGATCCCAGCTCACCTCTGATGCATGCAGTAAACTCTGCCTGCTTTACCTTCACTCTGGTTGTTACGCCCTGTTCTTTCAGGTGTCAGAAGTGATCCATCCAGATCCTTTGTGCCAAGGACTATTATGATCGGAGGAAAGGTAACTTGCATTCCAGACTTGATGCATGCTTGGGCTGTGGGGATGTGGGATGTGTTCCCTTCTGTGGCTTGGCCAGGCCCACTGTAGGTTAGTCAGCATGTCTCCTGGTGGGCTCTTCAAGGAAGGCCTTTATGGACTAATGGGACTGAACAAGGCCCCATCACTCTTTCCCTGTGGCTCAGGACTTCTCCTCTCAGTAGGGTGTTTTTGCTGATCCATGTGAACAGCAGAGGCGAGGACCCGCATTGGCACCTCTCATGCTCTCCCTTCCTTAAAAGCCTTCACCATTTCTGGGCTGCTCTTCTTCAGGCAGCCCCTGGCTACCACATGGCCAAGATGATCATCAAACTCATCACGTCCGTTGGCGAGGTCATCAACAATGATCCCTATGTGGGGGACAAGCTCAAGGTCATCTTCCTGGAGAACTACCGGGTATCCCTGGCTGAGAAGGGTATGTGTGGGCTTGTGTAAGCACATGTCAGGAGCTGGGAATGTCCCAGCAGAGCCCAGAAACACGCTGGCCCAAAGAGGCTGTCATGGCAGTTCACCTGGCTCTCCCCTTAGGAGAGGCCTTAAGACAGGGCAGGGTCCCAGCCCATGGGGAGCTGCAGCACACCAAGGATCAACTGACTCCTACCTCTCTTGCACCCAACAGTGATCCCGGCAGCAGATCTCTCCCAGCAGATCTCCACAGCTGGCACAGAGGCCTCGGGTACCGGCAACATGAAGTTCATGGTGAATGGGGCCCTCACTATTGGTACCATGGATGGGGCTAACGTGGAGATGGCTGAGGAGGCAGGCGAAGAAAACCTCTTCATCTTTGGCATGCGGGTGGAGGATGTGGAGGCTCTGGATCGGAAAGGGTTGGTGCTGGGGAGTGTCCAGTGCATACCAGGGCTTGTCAGATGGGGATGCAGGTCCTGCCATGATCTCCAGGAGGGACACTGTTCTCTTTGGGCAGTTCTGGAGCAGGATAAAATGGCAGGGGGGGCTAGAGGCAGCTTCTGTCCTGGGCTGGTCAATGCCTGGCCCATGAAGGATGCAGCTCCAGGGTTGAGCATCAGTCCCTACAGCCCATCTCTGCCGGGTGCAGGTACAATGCACGGGAATACTATGAGCGGTTGCCAGAGCTGCGCCAGGCTGTGGACCAGATCAGCAGTGGGTTTTTCTCACCTCGAGATCCCGGTTGCTTCAAGGACATTGTGAACATGCTCATGTACCATGACAGGCGAGTGCTGGGGTGGGCTGCTCCTTCCCCGCTGGCCTGCGTCCCCCAGCAGGCAAAGCCTCACCTTACTCTGCTTTGGGTTTCAGGTTCAAGGTGTTTGCTGACTATGAGGCCTACATCAAATGCCAAGGTCAAGTGGACAAGCTGTTCATGGTAAGAGCTTCCCCCCCACTGCACTGCCAAGGGAACTGGGATGAGTATGCTCCTGTGGAGCCCTTCTGACAGACACCACATCATGGGCATGGCTGAGGCAGGTTCTACTGCTCTGACAGCCTCACACCAGAGTGTTTAAACCAGCCACGCGTGTGTACCCAAAGCCCTGCAAGGCCAGGAGCTGGAACATAGCTGGGTGCAGGGCCAAGTGCTGACGTTGCCTCTCCTCTTCCCAGGACCCCCGGGAGTGGACTAAGAAAGTCATCAGGAACATTGCATGCTCGGGCAAGTTCTCCAGTGACAGGACCATCACGGAGTATGCCCGGGAGATCTGGGGTGTGGAGCCGTCTGCCACAAAGATCCCCCCACCCAACCTCCCAAGGGATTGATGCCAAGGGCAGGAGGGAGGGACGAGCTCCCAGCCCAGGCGGCCTCACCTGCACGTCACTGCCCATCAGAGGAGCTCAGCTCTGCAGGGACAAGGCCTTTCCCTCAGGGGGTAGAAGGATGCTCTGAGGAGGAGCCCTGACTGAGGAACAGGAGCTGGGGGAGAGGAGAAGGGACCCTGTGTCTGCACCCCTGTGTCCAGCCTGCATGTGCTGCCTAATGCTTCTAGCGAGATGACCACGGATAAGTCTTCCACAGCCGTGTTCCATGCTTAACAAGGGCTTTCCAACTCAATCCTCCCCTCCTGCTGCATGCAGCCTCACCTGGCCTCTTTGGCCCTGCCCATAGGCAGGTTTAACCAACACACTGTGTCTGTTGCATCCTCCAGCTGGGCTGTCTGACAGCCCCAAAGCTAAGGGGGGGGCCCTTCTGATCACCCCCTTCCCCACTAATACCTAGAGATGGTGGGCTGGTGCCAGTGCCACAAGAGATGGCTTGGAGAGCAGCGACCTCCTCAGCCCAGAGCATGCCATAGCCTCCTCCCCACCTCTGTTAGCCAAAAAGCCCAGTATCAAAGCCACTCTGGCCATTTACAGCTTCCACCTGCACAGAGAGGGTTGTACCTGCCAATGCCAGTGGGGGTGCTCCAAGCAGGCTCCAAGCTCTGCAGACACTGCTGAGTGCTGTCAGGAGTTGGATGTGTATCACTTCTCTTCATCCCTCTACAGCTGGGTCGTGCTGTTCCACGTCCTCCCAGTGCTGGGGCCAGTTTAACACCGGTAGAGCTGTGTAGTGCACCAGTACTCCCTGTGTGACACAACTCATTAAACCGACCACAACACCCGCTGGTCTGACTCCGGCTGACTTGTGACTGTTCCACAACCAGGTTCAGGCCGCAGTCACCTTCCCCTGATGTGGCTTCATGGGATGGGGTCCCCTGCAGCTGGCACGGAGCTGGCACCATCATGGCCACAGCAGAAAGGTCAGTCTTGCCAGTGCGTGGAGAGGGAGCTAGTAGCAGAGGCTGCACTGAGCTAACTGTACCCTGGTGCATTGACTAGATGGACAGAAGCAGAGGTTTGCCCTGCAAATGGCACACCAGGCTCCTGTGCTGGAAATGCCACCAGCATCCCCAGAGAAAAAGCAGAGCTTGGGCTGCAGGCACAAGGCCACTGGGCTCCAGGAGAGCCCCTCACTGGCAGCAACCCCAAGGACCTGGCCAGTCCCAGCTCTTCTCCCCTGCATAACTCCCGCAGCCCTGCCACACACCCCAAACCTGCCACAGGGCAAAGGGGCACAGCTGAAGTGATCAGCAGTCAATGCCTTTATTAAAACTACACCACTTGTAGAGAAACATTTCAGTGTCAATTTCCAAGCATCTCACTGGCATCGCCACCACCAGCACTTGAGCATGCTGGACCTTCAGCTCCATCACATGGGAGGATGGCAGCCAGGCTCTGCCCCAAGCCAGCTGCCAGCAGCAGCACGAGCTGGAATGTGCACGGCCCTGTCCAGAGCCAGGTCAGTGTTTCCCTCCTGTCAGTGCAATAAATACAGGGGCATCACACATGGGCTAAGTGGCAGCTTTTGAGTATCACGGGTCAGGAACCTCAGGGACAACCACGCTATGGCAGAAGAATCTCAGTACAAGAATGAGCTACTGTCTGCCTTGTGACTAGTGTAAGCCTGCAGGTAGAACCTGAATGCATGCTGGGCAGTTTATACTACGGTGATAACACCCCTGAGCAGACCCTTCAGGCAGCACAATTCACTGAGCACAAGTGACTAAACCTCGCATTGTCTATATGGACTGACCAGTGGCATCAACCAGGCCCTGTTCTAGCCCCAGGAAGGGCAAGGCCACCCTCAGATCCTCTCTCTGTGGGAGAAATTCATTTCCACTTCTGCCTCCTGGACGATATGCTCCGACCATGGCCATGAGATGGGCTAAGAAGTGCTACTGGAAGTGCCTGGGATGCCCAGAGCACAGGAGAGAGGTGAAGGGAGAGAAGGGAAGGGATACCCAGACTTATTTTTGCATCAAGAGCTGTGTACCACTGCCTGCTTAGAACCACAGCAAAACAGCACAGCCACCAGAACAGGAATACCTGACCTTCAGTTATTTAAAAGGTAGCTGAGGAATAAAAGCCTGCCCTTCTCACCCAGAGGAAGCACATGTCTGCCTGGGTGGCAACAGGGAGAACAGAAGACATCCATTCCCACGTCCTGGGTTCCTGTTGTTCATGGAAGTGGGAGATCAAGCAAAAATGTTCTCTCAGGCTTGCCAGCTTAAACGCCCAAATTTGCAATTTATCCATGTAAGTAGCTTCAGTCCTAGTAAGTGCGTGTGAGGAAGAAGAGCTCCAGAGACCACAGCAGGGATGGGAGCAGAAATAGTGTTCAGAAGGAAGAGGGCACAGAAGATAAAAGGGCATTAACCTTTTCCATTAAATAGATGCTTAAAAAGGAAGAAGAAAAAACCTCATCTTCCCTTCTATTTCCAAACGTGTGCAATGAGCTCAACACTTGCAACACTTCGTGACTGAGGAGCTAAATAAACCCCTTCTCAGCACCTGGACCTTCCATCTTTGTAATTCCAGCCACTTAGCAAAAAAGGAAAGGCAAAACATGTATTTCCTAGAAAGAAAACACCTCAAACTCAAGCAAGACAACTGCAGTCTGGAGACACGGCAAAAGCCATTCGCTACAAATGAGTCTCTACATGATTCAAACCAGCAGCAGTATTTAAAGGTGAAACACCCTTGGTCATGACACATAGGTCTGAGGAATGTCTGTCCCCAGCAGTACCAAGCTTCACTGGCCAGGCTTCCTTGTGCTTCTGTTCTTCGTGGTTTGATACTGGCTGGTATCACCCCTCCACATCCACGTCAGAAAACAGACCAACAGCTTCTTTCTCCTTCCATGACGCCAGGGGCTGGAGTTGCCAAGGGTACACAGCAGGACCGGAGTCGGAATCCCTGAGCTCCTCTAGTGCCAGGGATGGAAGAATGGCAGACTGACCCACAGGGAGGGGGAGGAAAAGGAGGGAGAGGAAAGGAAGAAAGGAAAATCTCTGTGCTGCCAAGCAGCTGGTGTTCAGTGATGATGCTCTTGTTCAGATTTTCCCAGGAATTCCCTAGGAAAGGAAAGGACACAGCAGTGACACTCAGCTCTCCTACACTCTGGTACAAGCTGCAGCCCGCAGGTCTTCCCATTCCCCTGGCAAACACCAGGGCTCAAGCAGTTGCAGCTACAGGGAACAGCCCTGAGCAGTGCTCACCTATGCTACCAGCTGAGTAGAAGAGCCAAGCAGGAGTCGCTGCTCCAGACAACTCCTCCAGAGCATCCCGCTCACAGCAGAGATGAGCCAGAGAGCAGTGCTCCAGCCTTCCGTGCCTCCCCTTCCCAAACCCTGCTTTGCAGGAGGGGTTTGTGCTAAGCCAGCCTTCTGGAGACCATAGGGTCTCCAACTGCTTGTTGCCCATCTCTCTTGCTGCTAGATGCGTATCTCAATGTGCCCCAAGCCCCCCAGCCGGAGGAGCCCCTCTTTAGCTGGGCTGTTACCGCAGTATTCGAGGTAGCTCTGGACTCCTGTAGATGTACTTGTGCCGGTAGCCGAGGTCTGTGTGGAACGGCACAAACTGCACCTTGTAGTCCCGGAAACTCCGCGACGTCGCAGCGATGTTGTAAAGCTGAAAGCAAGGGGAGGCAGGTGAGGGACACGTGTCACCCAACCCAGCTACCCCATCAAACCAGCACCCTGCTCAGGGCGGGTTACGGGCCCTGGCTGCAACCGCTCTGCTCTAGTGCCATCCATGCTCTAGCACCAATCCCTTCTGACTATGTACTTCTACATATTCCTATTACTTTTTCCCTGGCTGGGATGCTGTTCCATCCATACCAGCTACCAGATCAGTTTGCAGAGTCAGCACATGCGTACCTTCTTTCCCAGATGAAATGGTACCACGGGGTCATCCTCAGCATGAAGGATGAGCAGGGAGCAGGAAATGTATTTCACACTGTAAGAGAGACACCAATGTCACAAAGGCTCAGAGCAATCCCGTCATTCCCCAAGACCAACACACTTGGATATTCAAGGAAACTGCAATGACAAACGTGTCCTGTGGGTCATTACCTGCAGCTCAGATCTTGAAAGCACTATTATCTGGGCACCGTTCATCTGATCTACAGAAAAACCTAACTGGTGGAAGGCATCCTTGTAAAAGCTATTTAGTGCGCAGAGCAGAGCAAAGTGGCTCACCCCACTGCAAAGCAGCATCCCCCAAGCTCTGGTTTGGCTTCAGTACAGGCTTTTGAGTCGAATGCTCAGTGCGAAGAGACAACGTTATTACACATAGGGGGACTTACAAATGAACAGCAGAGAAATTTCCCCAAACCTTCAATGCCCCAGTGTAACGTACACTTGATAAGCATAAATCACATGGCCCAAATCAGCATATCCCCAAGCACTCTCTGCTGCATCTGTCCTTATTAAGAACAATTAGAAAGAGCTCCACAGTTCAAAACTGTGCTGCACTCAGGGCTGTGAGAGGAACGGAAACCCCTTCAGCAAGTATAATGCTTCAGCAACAACAAACAGTAAATCAAAAGCAGAGTGCAGGCTGATCTCTATCTCCCCTGGTGCTCGCCTCAGCTCCCTGCAGCACCAGCTCAAACCCCAGCAGAGACACAACTCACTTCTCATCGTTTGCAAACTTAATTCCACTTGTCGTGATGGGGTCAAGGAAGAACCAGTCAAACCCAGGGAAGTATCTGTATATCTGAGAGGATATAAAAGCGCATTAGCGGCAGGCACCAGCAGGACAGTTACACAAACAGCAGTAACATGGCCCATGTTTCCACCAGCATTACTTTTCCACTCCTGTTTCAGGCCCATCTCAGCAGCCTGCTCAGGAGCAAGCTCTCTGGGTGCTTGTACGATCAAGGTCTCCAGGTATCCCGCTGCTGCTGACAACAGCTCTCTTCTCGGGAGACAGCTTTATCCCAGGATACCTCACCAACACGTGACCATGTCAGATGGAAGAGATGGCCATATGAGAGTGAACTCACTGGGGAACCCATGCAAGTGCAAAGGCGCCACAAAGACGGGGACCAAGAGAAGCCCAGCTTTGCCATCACTATGCTCATAGCTCACAAAACAGCCTCCCGCAACAGAGAAACTACAAGAACAGGTTGTCCACTGTTGAGAGCAGAGCCCATCCTCCCATCCCTACATTTATTGCCCTTTCTGATCTCAGTTTGTTTTCTTGAAGCATGCCCACTTTGGTGTGGGCTTTGGTACTGCTTCTTGCACTAGTGCTCCCAGGAGCTGCCCTAAGTGCAGCTCTTTACCCCTGATGCTTATAAATATCACTGCTGCCCCACAAGCTGTAAAGTTGCCAATCTTCTGCATTACTCCTCACTTCTGATGCTTAATTTCTAAGCACACAATTACGTGTTACTAGTGTGAGAGCTGCTGTGTACTTGCCACAGAAAAGGGATGACTTCGTGCCTCCTCCCGTATGTTGGTGAAAGGAGATTCCAGGATCAGGGCATCCGGGGGAGTTTCTGAAAAGCCAAAGGCAGCGTGCTGCAATGCAGGTGTGCAGGCAGCCAGTGAGGTCAGGGTCTGCTTTGGGAAAGCCCCTGCCACCACGGTCACAGCACAGATGTGTGTGGAAACCTGGGCCACCAGCAGGATGTAGGCTGGTGGGAAGAGCATCCACCCCCCAGACTTACCTCTCTCGCAGAGGCGCCTCACTAGGTTTGTTGCAACCCTGGAGAGAACAACGACAAAGAGTTAATGTGGTGTAGTCCCTCTGCAAAGCACCAGGCTCCAGTGGTGGCAGGTGGCAGAGGTACAACTGAACTGCCTTAATATCACCCACTCACGTTGTCTGGGGTTCCCAAAGGGCTCCCACACTCAACTGTCTCCACTAGCACCAGGTGCCTGCAGTGAGGCACATGAATAAGTCCAAGTGAGCAGCTCACCATGTAGGCACTCAGGAGGACCTCCCTGGAGGTGGCTCTTGGCTCCCAGCCTGTCTGCTGCTGTGTGACACAGCCTTTCCCCCTCAGACAACAAGGACTAAGCAAGAGAGAGGGGAATGGGCAGAGGGGTGCTGTGTTCCATGCAGGAGTTCCATGCAGGAGTGCAGAGTCCCAGGGTGACACTGCAAGGGGTTTCCATAGCTGAGGAAGAAAGGAACAAGTCTCTCCCATGCATCTCCTTCCTGGGACAGGGATATTTCCAAAGTGGCTGAATCCTCCAGGCACACATTCAACATGCTCAGACTCCAGACTGGCTATGGTCACCAGGGAGCTCAGCAGGGGACCACAGTTCCAGGCCACTCAGATTTCAGTGCATTGGGAAATGTCTCCAGCACAATGTGATGCAAAAGGGATCCTGAACGTGGCAAGAGCCAAAGGAAAAACCTTTGCCTTCTCTCAAACAAAGCAGCGTTCAGTATCACAGCCATGAAGAGGTACAATCCTGAACCACCTCCCTGACCCAGCCACACACCTGTAGGACAGCAGGGCAGGCTTTTGTGGTCTCCAGAAGTTTAATGGGCACAAAGCTCAACTCAGAAGGAATTCTTGCATTAGCCCTCTGCTCCTCCACAAATCAGAGGGGAAAGAACACACACTGCCTTGCTGAACACAACCCACCTCCAGACAGCAGCGGGGGAAAGGGTATCATGCACATGCAGCTGGTGTGAGATATTCAGAGTACAAGAGAAGCCTGATGTTCTGCTCTGAAGGACACCCAGCCTAGGTTCCCCAAGGAAGAGATCAGTGCAGTCCCACTTTCTCTCCCCCAGTCAATCTGCGTTATATCATTCCAAGTGTCTTTTGTTCCAGTGCAACCCCCTGGGCAATGAAGGTTCCAGATCAATCCCTGCACAGTCATTCACTGTAGCCCTTCTCACTCTGTAGAGTGCAAAGGAGAGGCTACTCTGCAGCAGTGATGCCAGAGACCCCCAAGCCAAGCCAGCCTGGGGATTACAGCAAACAGCACCTCTGTTCAAGGTCAGTGTTAAATGTTCTTCAGAAGCTGCTCAGTCCCTATGGCGAGATGCTTACCCCGTGCCCAAGGAGTGTCCCCATATATAGACAGGGTTGTCCCCACTTCTTGCTTTGATCCAGTCGAAGACGTGAAGGGCATCATAGGTCATCCCCCTCTCTGATGGGCTGCCTACTGAATCGCCCCAGCCTGGAATAGAAACAGTCCCTCTGAGAGCCACACAAAGGGGTCAGCAAAGCCAGCCAACAACAACTAAACGAAGAGCTGGATCTCAAACACTGCCACACTGTGCTCTTGCACCTACTCATCTGCAACAGTCCCGCTCCCAAACCACAGCTGCTTCGGCATGCATGTAACCAGTATGTAAGGGGAGTCACTAACAGCATAAGAATTGGATACGAAGGGTCAAAACCCAAGCACGCTTCACAGAACTGCAGCAACATCAGTTTGTCCATGCTGTTTGATCAATGACCTCAAGCAATTTTCCATTCTCCTGACTGGTTTGGCTCTATCACTGCTGCAGCACGTCTACAAATCTTATGCTAAGCAGCAAGCAGCACACATCCCTCCTGATACCTAATAAGCAGCCAGAGAAGCAGCTGCCAGGAGGACTGAAAAACAGGGCAAGCTCCTACAAATAAACCTTTCCCAGATGCCTTCTTGATTAAAATGCAACGGATTAATTTATTTTCTGTATCTCCAGTGGCATTAAATGCAGCCAGTGCTTAAAGACTAAGAAGGGAAAAAAAGAGCAGCAGAAGTTTGACTGCTGGTGGCACAGGGCTGGAAAACAGTCCTGGCTCCTCCTAGGGAGTTACCAACTGCTAGTGAATCATTTACTCCGTGTCTTATCTCTCCTAGCTTTTAAGTGCAAGTTCAATTCTCTGTGTGACCTCAGGAAAGTCAATTAGCTCATAACCTAAAGAACACATCTAGGCAAGTTCACTAGTTCCCAGATATGCACCTGGAGGATGCCTTAACTGGATGCTGTGACAGTAGATGTGCCTGGGCCACCCTCTGCTCCTCAGCTCCCAAATCAGTGAGCCCTAAGCATGAGGACAGATAGGAGGCATAGTCCACAAAGCTGGACATCAGGAAGTGGTGCTACACAGGAAGGCACTGGAAAGAAACTTCTGGAATTTTTTTGGATACCCCTTAGGAAAACAAGAAGCAATGACCACAGGTGATTAGCTGGCATGGAGTGTTTATAAAACAACAGCTCCCCTGAGAACCAGAAAAAAGAGCAAGTTTTTTGTTGCTTTTATAGAAAGAGACCTCTAAAACCTTTCCATAATAAAAGAAACCCACATACCTCGATAATCAAATGTCACCACGTGGTACCCAAGCGAGCTGAGAACCTGCAGGAGGGAGACATGCAGAAACCCATCACAGAGACTTGCACAGCAGCTGAGCTCTTGCCTCAGCACATGGATCTAGTTTATAACATGATCAGCCTGATGTGGTAAAGCAACAACTTAAAAGCTTTTCAGTGGAGCAGGCACAGAGCTTTTCAAATATGAATCATCTCAGCCCACTGGGTTTACTCCATCTATTTCCTGGACTTAGCTGTTGATTCTCCCTTTAACAGCTTTACCCTTCAGATCCACAGATAGATATCCCGTGACTGGTTCTCCTACAGACACTTCCAGGGTTTCCAGTGGAACGATTGCTTCATTTATATTATTCAAACAGGCATAAATGTTAACATAACACAGAGGAGCCCATTTCAGGTTTCAGAAGGCTTACATCCAAAACAGGTAAATGATGTATCATTAAGATTTATGTTACACCCAATACTAATCCTAACAAAATCTGTTAAAAGCAAGTCAAATATTAGTTCAACTTGCTCAGAGAAAGTGCCTTGTTACAAACAGTGCTACTGTTCCGAACTAGCATTGTGCAGCATGAACCCAACAGCTCTGCAGGAGAGAAAAATCAACACAAAATCACAAAAACATCAAAGTGGTGTTGCTTTCATGGCCTAATTGAAGTGATCTTACGATCAGGCTACACTCCACACCTCCTAATGGACTAAAGGGAATCATCTCATCGCTTTATTTCCAGTGTAACTGAAAGCTTCACAGCCTGAACAATGACTGTTACTAGGTCACATCACATGAATGCAGTAAAAAGAGAAAAGGAGGACAACAGAAAGGAGGGGTGTTCAGGTAAGCTGGCAATTCAGCTCCTCTGTTGGGAGGACTGTGGTGGTGATGGTTTCTCCCTCTTCCCTCTGGGATCCATTCAGGGCTAATTTTCACACACTTAATACTGGAGGCTTCTTTCTCCTCACTGGCCTATGTTTCCATGTCACCTCATGCTCACCCTTGCTGTACTTGGTTGTGTCACTTCCTGGCACTATCCATGGGTTATGCTACTCCATCATCATCCCTCTTTTAATACCATTTTCCCACTAACAGTTATTTGGAATTTATAGTAGCAGACGCAACTGCAATAGCTTCAAAATCCCTTTGGTTTCTGCTATTCAGGTCTCTTCAAGCAACATTTGCTTCTCTTTCCTTGGCTCTAAATCCTTCAAAGGGGTTCCCTTGGGAGGGGACAAGGTCCATACTGTGTCAAGGGCAAAGCCGTTTACAGCAGAGGTATTAAATGCAGTTTTTCCACTCTAGGATCCACACTCCCAAGTCACTGTTTCAACACCCTCTTGCAAATCACTATTCCAACATCAGAGAGAAAGGCAGTTCTGTGTATACACCACCACACGACAGAACAACAACAGAATAATCAGGTAAAGTATTAATTAACAAATGAGATGCTGCTTCTACCAGAACCACTGTGTACCATTTTTATATGTCCACTTACACACTGAAGCCCCTGACTGGGCTTGCAGAACACAAAGCTCCTTGCAAAGTTTGGTTTTTAGCTTCCCAAGGTGATTTTACTGCTAACACATCACATACAACCCAGCCTTGTCCAAGCCACCAAAAATAACCTGTTGACAGTTAACTCATCTTGTACTTTTGTGGAAGCATTCCTGGCAAAGAACCTGATCAGCTCAGCTGGAGCTCACAGTTAACAACAGCAAGTAATAGGTTTCAAGTATCTTTTAATATGGCAAGTATGCTCCTGGCTTACAGACCCCTCTTTCCCTTACACTCTTCATACCTGGAGGAGATTCAGAGCCCTAAGCTATCTGCCTGTTGGGAGCGAGTTGTAATGAGCAGTCTCCTCACGCCTAGGCACATCTGAGGTGTTAATGCAACTGCTTGGACAACACGTGCAGCCGCTTACCTTGTAAAGCTCCACACGGTGATCCCCTCCTCTGGTGGCAGCAATTCATGAAGGGAAGAGGAGACATGAAGAGGATTCATGAAGAGAAGACCACAAAACAAAAGAAACAAACAAGAAAACCCACATGTGCACATTAAAGCCTCCAGAAACAGACTTTCCCAATCACCACAAGTTTAACAGAAACACACCAAACGTAAGGAATAGCAGAACAGCTTTGTCACAAATGTCACTGACATGCCACGGCTTTGCTGATCTATGCAGGACACAGTTTTGAAGTCAGATTCTCCCTACAGATCTCTCAGTAGGTAAAGATGTATTTTTCAGCCCACCCTCTTACCCGCCTCTTCCTGTAGTACATCCAAAGCAGACCGCTCCTGCTGGCTTTGCAGACCCTTGCTCATACCATCAGTAACTGCTGCTCCACAGGGTGTGATGCTCTCTGCAGGACTCACTATGTTAACCCAACCTGCTGGCCCAGGCTCCAAGCACAGGGACAGAAAGAACATGTGCAGAAGGCTGAGCAGAGAAAACCAGAGCTGAACACTGCAAGTCCAGAGGAAGAATTTCCTTTAATATCTCTGGTTTTGGTTTGAGGTTTTTTGGTTTGGTCAGTACAGCCTCTAAATCAAAATGCCACTTCCCAGTCCAGCCTCTAAGAACACATGAACTTGCCAGCCAAAAGCTGTCAGCTCCAACTGTTCTACAAAATACCTAATGCAGCCAGAAACACAAGGGGTTGCCTGTAAGGACTTCTGAAGCATGTAAGGCTGAAAGAAGATATACTTGCTTAGAGAAGTCACCTTTGACATCCCTGACATCTCCCCTCACTACAAGAGAGACACTGAGTGCTGGAGTGGGTCCAGAGAAAGGCAATGGAGCTGATGCAGGGCCTGGAGCACAAGTGTGATAGGGAACGGCTGAGGGACCTGGGAGGGTTTAGTCTGGAGAAGAGAAGGCTCAGGGGGGACCTTATTGCTCTCTACAACTGCCTGAAAGGAGGATGGAGCCAGGAGGGGGCTGGGCTCTGCTCCCAAGGAACAAGGGATGGGAAAAGAGGAAACCACCTCAAGCTGCACCAGGGGAGGTTTAGGCTGGATATTGGGAACAATTCCTTCCCCAAAGGGCAGTCAGGCATTGGAACAGGCTGCCCAGGGCAGTGCTGGAGTCACCATCCCTGGAAGTGTTCATAAACTCAGGCAAAGCAGAAAGCCAAGGCAGTGCCTTTACTTATGGTTAATGCAGCCTGCATCAATAAAGCAGCCCTTTGACAAGAGACTGAATATCCAGTGAAGAAACATACAGCAGTATGTATAAAAGCTGAAATGGCAAAGGCGATACACCTCCAGCCTCCCTAATGTGCAAAGTGAAATACGTGATCGACCCATAGCTCAGGACTTCATCCCAATAGCAATTGGAGAAGCAAAAAGTAAATCTAATCGATATGCACATAACAGAGATACTGGTCCCAGATTACCACCATTAAGCTGCAGAATAGCTTCCATTAGTATCGTTTGCTACACCAAATAAAGGCAGGAAAACAAGTAAAGCAGTATTAGAAAAACAATGCAACAATTTGATTAAACCTTTAGGGTCAGTTTTCAAAAACCCATCTGCTCGTGCATTTCCTGGCTCCCAACATCCATCTTCCACACCATACCCTCTTACCAAAGAAGAGCACTGCTAAAACAAGAACTTGGGTGAAAAAGATCAATGTTCCTGCAATGTAAAGGTCAGTGAACCTTCACTACCAGCACAGGTGAAACAGTTTCTTTGCTTTGTATCATGGAACTTGCATTTCTGCAATGCTTCTGCTCTTGCAGAGTATCTATGAGCAGACATCAGCTTCAGAAGAACATGCACTGGCACTCCAAACTCAGAAAGGGGCTGACAAGATATTAGTAAGGAAAAAGACCATGCTCTAATCAATGAAGTAAAGCACTGTATCATGCAGAGATGGGGCAGTAAGGACACAATTCTGAGAAACATCCAGGAAGTCTGAGGCTGTGCTAACGTTTCTTAAGCATCCAGCGACAAAGTACAGAGAACCCACCTACTCCTCTAGCTGATACACATGGTCGGCTATGAAATTGCAAGGTTTAGAAATGCTCCTGTTCCAGACAAACATCCTGCATGCATGCAATAATGAAACAAGGCCAGCCCATTGCCTTCCTCTTTCCTTCTGATTTTGCTACCTCAGAATGCGTTAACTACTAAAACAAGCTCACAAAAGGAACTGGGAAGTTTATTTACTATGTGTAAATCACATATACAGAAGCACTAATGCTATCCCCTTGATCCAGAGACCACTATACTGCAAAGAACGAATTCTCCCTACCTGATCTAGTAAGTGTCACAGCCTCCTGGCAGAAAATACAATGCAGACTACAGTATCAGGTGTCTCCAATAACTGCAAGAAATCTATTCCACATTCAATAAATGGAGAGACGCAACCTCTTAAAACATGCTTTCCTTTTAAGAAAGGAGTAGCATCAAACTGCTTTTAGATTTTATTTTGGTTCTAATCATAGAATAGTTTGAGTTGGAAGGGACCTTTAAAGGTCATCTAGTCCAACCCCTGTAATAATCAGAGACATTTTCAACTAGACCACGTTGCTCCAAGCCCTGTCCAACCTGGCCTTGCATACTGCCAGGGATGGGGCATCTACCACCTCTCTGGATAACCTGTGCCAGTGTTTCATCACCCTCATCATAAGAGGCCTTCTTCCTTATATCTAGTCTAAATCTACCCTCTTTGATACCATTACTTCTTGTCCTGTCACTACAGGCCCTTCTAAAAAGTCTGTCCCCATCCTTCTGATCAATGTATCAAAGCTGTGGCAAACCAGGAAAACACAGCATGACACAAAGACATCACTTTTTAATGCCTCACCTTGTTCCCGCATTCCCATGCAAGTAGAGGATTACAGGGTGACTAGATCCTAAAGCATCTTCAAACCACAACTGGTCCTTCCCTCGGGCATTCTTCCACAATGCTGCAGGGACCGTGTGCCTGTAGAAAGAAGGAAAATAAACAGTCAGACACTCATTTCTGCCATTTGAATGTTGAGTTTTCCTGATCAACTTATTACCTCAGTTCACACACCCCCCACACGTCTTCACAGAGCTGTCATGAGTGACAAGTGGCCAGATTTAAAAGGCAGTGCCCAGGGTTATGTCTACATTTTCACCTCCCATCACGGTTGCCTTCAAAACTCAGGTCTGTGCAAGGCATCCAACTTCACAGGCAAACCCAAAGCACAATTACTGAACTTGCCACTGTTCTGGAGAAAGAATCTCAATTCCTCAGCTTTTAAGGCATCTAATTTCTTCAATTAACATACTTATACACCATAAACAAGACTGACAGCTAGGTCAGCAAATGTTCAGCATAATCCAAGTCAGCTGGCTTTGGAAAGCGCGTTCAGTAAGAAGCAGAGCTGATTCCATAGTCAATCTGAGGAAAAAGAGGCACTGGGATCCAGATGAGAAGATCATGTATGTTGCTTTCAGACACCAGAATTTGAAGTGGGTAATTTCTCTAGAAGGTGTGGACATGCCCACAGCCATCTCAAATTGTTGAGAAGGGGGCAAGCTTACAGCTGTCAGAAGTAACTGAAGTACTCACATGCCTTTCTCCTCGGAAGACAAACTGTCTGACACACTTTCCTCATAGATGTAAAGCTCAGAGGACACACAGGGGGAAACAATGGAAAAAGTCTACTCTCATGCATGCAGGCAGCAAATAAGGAGTTCCTGAGTAGGAAAAAAGCCCCAGTAACTGCAGGACTCAACTTCTCCATCTGTTCTGCCTCAAGACTTGGGCAAGCTTATGAACAAAGGAGGCTGAGGACTTAGTTTCAGAAGCATACTGAATGCAAGACCTTACACTGGCATTAAAGCAAGGCTCCAAAGTTTCCTGAAGACCTCCCTCATACATATCCAGACAAATGACACAGACTCTGAATTGCCACCACAAGCTGGAAGTTCTTTTTTAGTAACGATACACAGTACACTTGTAAGGGAAACAAAAACCTCCCCACTGAAACCTAAACTTATTCAGCAGCTTAGCAGGCAGAAGTAATTGTCCAGGTGAAGATAGAGATCGTTATTTCTCAGCCTACCCTGCCTGCAAAACCTGAACTTCCAGCTTCTGAACATGTCTTTCACCAAAATCCACTTAAAGGGAAGGAACCATCTTTATGCAGCAGGATATCACCATCCCATTCGAAAGGTTATACACGCTCAAGTGAAATCTCTACTACACTAGTGGGAACATACAAATAACACACATAACTGAAACCACCAAATTCTACAGCTTAGAGATCCAGCATCACTGTCTGCATGAAGGAACAGCCCCCTTCCTCCACACCCAACGTGGTGTCTGGCCCTTTTTCAGGTCTTTCCTGCTCTTGCATGTATATTCAAATTGCAGGCACTTTTTCTTCAAAGCTAGGAGGAACTTCTCTGTGGCTCTGAAACTTCTGGTGTTGAGACACAACAGACAGCACTCGTGAGAAACAGAGGCAGAAGCTGGTTTAAGCTGAGGTAATAACACGCGAAGTACCAAAAGCAGAGGTTTTCAGACAGAGAACCAGTCGCCTGAGCCGATCCTGGGTACCAAGGAGGTAAAATGAACTGCCCTTGCCTGGAAACAGAAAACCTTCTTCAAGAGGACAGAATGACAAGGGATGTCTGACACTGTCACTTGTCTGATTAAGAAAGTAAACCGTGTGTTCCATTCTCACCCACTCTCCAAATCCTACATATGTTTTATACACAGAACAGTCTTCCTCCTACTCTGAGCACTTAGATCCTGTTTGCCTACCTTCCCCCACATTTATTTTTGCAAAACAAAACATGAGCAGCAGTTGAATGACAAAACTCCTTGGGTCTCATCTGATATGGAGGCATGGTCTTTGTAGCAATGCAGACCAGTAGCCTTTACAATTCCAAATGATGATACCTCTCTGAATGCACAGGGTATCCAGTTTCGTTTCATGCATTACTGATCTGAGCTCAGGTGAGTTCCAGAGACCCACACACGTTTCAACATCAACTCAGTCAATTGGCAGAGGAAAACACAAATGTCCACAGATCAGAGCAGGCGAGGGCTGCCACATGCACAGCAACCATAAGCACCACTGAGAACAAAAAGAAGGATAAAGATGCACAGCACAGACTGCATACAACAGGCTTCCTTACCAGACTCCAATGGTTACATCCTCCTCTGGCTGCAGGTAATAATTACAGGTGTGGTTTAAACCTTGATCCTGTGGTCTTTTCAAGTCAATGAAATATGGGACCCTCACTGAAATACAAAGAAAGAATCACAGAATGGTGTGGGTGGGAAGGGACCTTAAAGCTCATACAATTCCAACCCCTTGCCATGACCAGGGACACCTTCCACTAGAGCAGGTTGCTCCAAGCCCTGACCAACCTGGCCTTGAACACTGCCAGGGATGGGGCAGCCACAGCTTCTCTGGGCACCCTGTGCCAGGGCCTCAGGACCCTCATGGGGAAGAATTTCTTCCCAATGTCTCATTTAACTCTCCTTCTGTCAGGTTAAAGCCATTCCCCCTTGTCCTGTCCCTACAGGCCCTTGTCAAAAGTTCCTCTATCAATTTGTTGTAGGCCCCTTTAGGTACTTGGAGACTGTTATAAGGTCTCCCCAGAGCCTTCTCTTTTCCAGCTGAACAAATGAATACACGTTCCATCCTGTGGATACTGAGGCCTCCCTTTGTGAGGAGCCAGCTCACCAGACCCACTGTACTGACAGTGTGACCAAATGCAAAGGCTAAGCAGGCACAAGGAAAACACTCAGTCCGACTGCACGAACATGTCCTCTTCTGCTCCAACCAGAATATTTTCCTAAAGTGCTTTTGGGTGAAGAGTCACTGCCTGGATAACAATTCACTGGGTGTAATTTCACGTGCTATGTATTCATGCAACTTCCTTGAACCCTTCAGACAAATGTATTCAACATACTGCACAGTTTTAAAGACGCTCCTCCCTTGCACCCCTCACCCATCCCGACAGACTGAATCACTTACCAAAGTTTAGGAAGACCAGCTTTGCCTGAATAGCAGGGCAGAGTTTTACTAGAAATGGAATGGCAATGTACATTCCCAGCAGCCAGATTATTAACTTCCGCAGTCGGAACCATAATCCATATCGCCTGTATAAAAGAAGAAGAAAGGAAAAGAGAGAAAGAGCTGAATATAGCAGGAATTTTGGGAAGCAATTTTCACAGGGATCTCTGTGCTTGGCACATGTGAAAACCTGGTCACTGACTCTTTAAACTGTTTAAAGTTAGTTTTGTTTATGTAGCATCAGCTGAGGGAAGCAGAAGTACCCAAACTGTCAGCTGATGATACACAGTTTAGGAATAGGGAACAGAAACTCCCCACTGATTACATTTTAAACCACTCTGTAACAAGAGCTTTTTGTTCTGCTGATTTAAGATATTCCAGGATCTCTAGAAATGCACATCACATGTCTGACTCCACAAAGGAGCCTGGCTGCCCTTCCCATCCAAACCACCATCAGCAAGACTCTGTTTAGTTGGATTTTAACACATTTTAAGGAACTATGTGTAATGAGACTGATAAAAAAAATCACACTTGATCGCAGGTACAGGCTGGAGCAGATATTCTGCCTGGTCCAGCTAAAACGGTTCACAGCTCTCAACATCATGAAAAGCAGATCCAAGTTACAAGACATTATGAAACTTGCTGTCTGCATCATCATTCCCTATGAGCCCAGACTGAGTTCAGAGCAATTGCCCCAACATGTTATTTCTGTTTTCTCCAAAGTATTCCAATTGGGAAGAATAAACTACCAAAAAAACCCTCAAACCAACACCACAGACAAAAGTGAAGGATCACACAGCAGCTAGTTATCTCAGTTTTTCTCAATATATACTTTGTTGCCTCAGAATACTTACCACGTACACATCCATACGTATATGCATGCATTTAATATACATAAGGTGTAATTCTAATGATCTAGTTGATTATTTTTAATCCAGTTGATTACAGTTGCCCATTTGATGGGCAGAAACATTGAGGCCCTCAAGTATCGCTGCAATCAAGAACTAAAATGCATGCAAATCTTCCAGGCAACACAACTCCCTTTGCTTTCCAGCAGGCAGCCTCTAGGAGGAACAACACTGCAGGCGAATGAGTGACCAGCTCTTGCTGTCAGGAAGTGCCAGCAGCTGAAAGCACAGATCAGTATTTCCAAGAGGCATGAAATTATTCATCTCCCATTCGCCAATTTTAGGAGCCGACACACTGAATTGTGGAATACCAGAATGCTTTGGGTTGGGTTGGAAGGGACCTTAAAGCTCATCCAGTTCCAACCCCCTGCCATGGGCAGGGACACCTTCCACTAGACCAGGCTGCTCCAAGCCCCGTCCAACCTGGCCTTGGACACTGCCGGCAATGGAAGATTTGTTCTGTTTGTCCTTTAGCCTCTATAATAATTCAAGTACAAATCCATCTGCACATAAACCCAAGCATTAACAGTAAGTGATGTTAGGTCTGTCACCAGGAAGTGTCAGTCAATTAGTACAAAGTAAATTTCCATTATATGCCACCAAAGGTACAGAAGATGCAACAGGCAAATTCATACCCAGTCCTATGGCTTTCATCATTGCGACATCCAAAACATTCATTATTCAACTTCAGAAGAGCATCAGAAATCAGCGACTTTTTTAGTCACATCATAGGTACCTGGACATTAAAGAGGCTGTAAGAGATGCCAATAGATCACTCAAGTCCATTCCCTCATCCTACAAAGGACACACTGCCTAGAAGAGTTGTCTGCTTAATTCCTCCCACCAACTCTTGACAAGGTACATGAATGTCCCTCTGGCAACACAGAGCTAAGCTACATGGACTAAAATTCATCAAGTTCACACAATTTCACCCCAAACAGTGTTTTCTCCTAGGAAAAGTGAAGGGTACCACAAGAAAAAGCTAAGTAAAGATTTCCCTGGTAGGTAGACAGGGAAAAAGCTATCCGTATCTCAAAATCCAGCTAAGCTACTAAACATTCCTATTATCACCAATGAGAAAGTGGGAGAGGGGAGTGAATAACACACAAACTCTTTAAATACTGGCCTTAAAAAGCTAGGATGGAGCAAGGCATTCCAGCCTTTACTGGCAGAGACCCGGCCCAGGAAAAGCTCCACTCCATAGTTCCCACCAGCCTACTACGGCTGTACCCAGGAGCGAACAGTTAGGATGTTCTACTATGTCTCTTTTAATTAAAAGACAAATTAACAGGAATAATGGACTTAATAAAGCAGTGAAAGGCAGCTAATTTATGGCCTACGGGTTTTCAATAAGAAAATAAGAGAGAAAAGCAAAGCAAGCTGAGAGTGCTGGAGAAAGTTTCCAAACATGCAGGCTCCACCTTCGGGTTCCTCACAATATGTGACAGCTCATCTTCAGAACACACACAGCACCAACAGTGATGGAGAGAGGTGTCCCAGCCACATCTTCAAACCCAATGTTGACAAGGAGATGTCAGTACACCCATAAACCTTTTGAGCTGGCATTTGGCAGGGCAGTCAAGCTGTTCTAACCACACAAAAACACTGCCAGCTACTGAAACTTAGTCTTTTCTTTGCTGCAATTATAGCAAAAAATACTGCCTTCCTTCCTCCCAATAGCACATTGAACTTCTAAAGCACAGCAGAAAGCTGCCATAAGCACTAGCTCATTGCTCTGTTCACAGCAGTAACACAGGACAGTGAAAGCTGCACACACAGCTCCAGAGAAGCGCTGTGCATCAGCAAACAGCACCACAGTATTTTGTCTATCAGCTAACCAGCGCTTCCATGGGTATACCCTGCAGTCTATCCCACTTCCCATTCACTTCCATAGCTAGGCAGCATGAAGGTGGCAAATGTTAATGCGGCCACAAAGGAAAATTCATTGTAGGAAGAACCTGCGCCTGTATCTGCATCAGAGCAGATACATGCAAATACATAGAAAATAAGCTCTTCAAATTGATCAGGCTGTAGGTACGGTTGAGCAGTTGTAGTAGAAATGCCTGTCCAAAGAACAGGCCTCCAGGTCTCTGTTGGCAGTGGCATCAGCTTAGACACCGTACAACTGCTGCCTTAGACACATTCACAGACTGGTTTGGGTTGGAAGGGCCCTCAAAGCTCATTCAGTTCCAACCCCTGCCATAGACAGGGACACCTTCCACTAGAGCAGGTTGCTCCAAGCCCCTGTGTCCAACCTGGCCTTGAACACTGCCAGGGATTTAGGAGGAACGCAGGATGCTGGGGCATACAAGCATGTCCTTTCTCTCCCGTCATTCCAAACTGTCTATTCCCAAGGTCTCCCCTGAGGCTCCCTTACCCTTTTCAGCCCAAAACAAGCTGTTGCCTATAGGACATCTCCTTTTGGCTGGAGTAAGATCTCTAGGCCATGTTTTTCCAACTCTCTGAACAGAGATGAAGTTTGTAACTTTAAGCTCCCAAATTCGCCCAGTCCAGCACCTCATTACATAGCTCCCCTCTTGCAGCCCAGACTCTCCCTCGGACTGCTTCTGTGACTCCTTCTGATTAATATCAAGTGATTAAACATTAACTTAAAACAATAAACAGTGAGAAGGAAGCCATCCAGCCAGTCATGTACAAAATCTGAGGTCCGTCTCTCTGCAAAGCAAAGGACAGCATCCCAATAAACTGGGTTAGTTTCAGAAGTAGCAAGCTCCAGCCACTGAGACCTTCGTAGGCACGTTTGGGTTTGTGAATAGGAAAGATCTTGGGTAGGACTGCAAGAATCAAGACCCCGGTGCAGCAAGAGGGAGAAAAGCAGCATCAGCACTCAGGGTAAGGGGAAGAGGAAGGCACTGCTGAGCAGGCAGTCAATAGCAATGAAATGCCAGGGAGCAGCATGCAGGGACTCGGAACACAGCAGGTTTAAAAACTGGAGTCCATAAAGTGAGGGAAAGGCAAGTTATTGTAGGACATTAATGAGCAGAAATAATGGAGCAGCCTGCAGGGAATGCAGGGCCTTTGGCAATGCCACAAGTTTCTAAAACACAGCAAATGAAGCAAGGTAGGGAAAGGCTCACACAAGCATTTACACACCCCACAGCACAGGACATGGGAGCTACATCTAGCCTTTCCCTCTCAAGCACCCCATCCTTTCCCAGTGCCATGCCTTTGCCCCTCCACAACCAGCACCTGAGCTGACTACCTCTGAAAGGTTTACCAAGAAAGGAGCAGATGCTTCTCTTATTTTAAGTATGTAGCAAACAATGAATAATTATACCCTAAGGCAACTGAACCACTGACTTTCGGGACAGGAGAACAGGCTTGGGGATTAGGGTTTTAAGGCTGTTGACTTGCCCTGAATGACCGCTCTGCATCAGCTGGTTAGTTTGCACCAGAACCACTTGTTTAAACTCCACGAATATACTTTCTGCAGAGCTCCCCGAGCAATGCTGCTGACACTGATCAAAGCTGAAGTCACCCACGCTGCATTTCAGTCAAGTTTGGCATTGAGATACTACTGTGGTGCACTCCCCCCACTGTGTTGACTGAATTCTTTAGTTTTTCACTCATTTCACAGCTGACAGCTGGTTTCTATTACAGGCACAGCCCTTTCCCTAGTCCACAGACTGGGGAAGGGAAAGCTGCCTGCAAAAAGAGGGGGGGAAAAACCCAAACCATAAACACAAAAAGGCTGAAACTGCACTGAAGTGCAAAACAGGAGCTTGGCCCAGCTGAGTGGGGTTTCCACTGAAGCAGCACAGCTCGTTTCTCTCTACCACACTCTTCTTCACAAGGAGGAACATTCAGGTACACAAGCAAAGGTTCAAGAGCACAACCCATATAGACATCTAATGCTCCACCACAGTTCCTAAGTGCCATTTAACATAAAGCCACTTGTCTGTTGAATGCATACCATAACTGAAAAAGCACGCAGTACAGGCAAGCCAGCTCCCCAGCACCACTTAAAACCTGTTAACATGCAGCAAATCCACCAGACTTGCATGTGTGTGTTACCCTTGCAGCAACAGCAGGAATCCATAGGTTCAGACTTCATCCCTATGTGAACAGGCTCACATTTCCAAGCTGCACAACTGTGTGAACACGAAATCCTTTTACACAACAGTTTTTGGGAGACAGCCGCAAGACACAGGGTTTGA